CGGAGGCATTCGCCCACGCGAGTGCGGTGGCATTGTCTGAGAGTGGCGCAGCTGCAGCACTCGTCAAGGGCGTCTCGTCGTTTACGACGTTCAAGGAGAAGACCTCGTCGAGGGTGAAGGAGCTCAAGTCGGGCGCCGAGGGCGCTGATGAAGATGATAGCCCCGACGATGTTGCTGAAATCCAGGGCGTTGCAGCTGAGTTGCAAGGGCAGCTGCAGGCGCATGTCTCGCCGCCGCCCAGCAAGAGGCCGAAGCTCCAGAGGATCACGCCCGATGCGCGCTAGGACTCCAAGGACTTCGACGATTTGGCGTCCAAGGTCTCACTGGGGTCCCGTGGGCCCTCGGGTTCCGCGGCTGGCGGTGCTCGCGATGGCCCGCGTGGCAGCGGGGGCTCGGCGAGCGCCTTCGGCGACGACGAGGGCCATGCAGGAGCAAACCTTACCGCGGCGGCGATGGGCGTGATAGTGGGTGTGCTGCTGCTGCTGGCGTTGGCGCTCATGCTGCGCATGGGCACGCGTGCCAGCTGCCGCAGCACATCCATTATAGTGCTCGTTTCTGCTGTGCCACAATGCGTGATGATGTTGAAGCGCGCCTACGGGTGCAACTTCCCCCGTTCCCAGTTGCACCCTGGGCATTGTTGCGCACCGACGCCGCGCTGCGCATCATAGCACAGCGCAGCACAGAGCCACATCGCAAATCACGCCGTGACGTTGCACGGCACAGCACAGCATATCACAGCATAACGCGTCCATCATCTTTGGTAAACCTTTCAAGCGCAATCGAGGCGCGCCTACTGGGCGCAATTCCCCCCCCGCCCCCCCTGTTCCAAGTGCGCGCTAGCCTTGCCGTGCCTCGGTACCGCGCTGTATGACATCGCGCAGTTCAGCACCCACAGCACGCTCGCCACGCTGGGATGCCCCACAAAGTAGGACCCAGCATCGGGGTCCCACAGATTGGAACACCGATGCGAGTCAAGACGGGGCATGGTGCTAGTGCCCCCTCCCCCCCCCCACTCCCCATCCTGCCGCGCCCCACCCCTGTGGGCGCTCCGCCGACAGTCGGCCTTCGTTTGTCGCATCGTTCGTGCCACCAGGGGCATCGGCATCATCGCCAGTCGAGTGTCCGATGGCCTTGTCGTCTCCTGGAGGGGGGCTCGGGAGCATCAGATTGAAGTGCCCTGTCCAGCTCTTCCTCGACGGCTCCGAGGACGGTCGGAGCTTGAGGCCCCTGCGGATCAGGGCGCAGGAGCGCACGGCGAAGGAGCCCACGAAGATCGAAGGCAAGGTGCAGCTCGAATACCTATCGAAGCTCGAGTTGGCCGCCAACTTGCGCAACCCGACATGGGTAAAGGGACAGATGTGGAAGGATCTCGTGAAGGCCATCGAGATGTACCTCGTGGACGATGGCCTGACCTGACCAGCCTCCATCATCTTCAGCGTTGCGGATCGCAGGCAAGCTACATTGTCTGAGTTGTGCGATTGGCCTGGCCATTTCAAGTGCTTTCGGTGCTGGTCGAGTTCCGGGTCTACCCCCTTGAACCTCATCGTTCCGACCTTCGCCATGGCCGCCTTCAGCACTAAACGTGAGAGTGAGAACGCAGACGATTTGAAGTCATTGTTGAGGCACTTCGTCAAGGTCGTCTTCTCAGAGCACGCGTGCCCTTGGATATTCGACGGCCCTGCCAATCTCGCTGTCCCCAAGAACTACGCCACGGCCGCGCTGCGCGAGTGCGAGAGCGTGGACGCATGGGATTTGCCCAAGGAGGCCTCTTCCTTCATCCAGGATGTTACCACGGGGCCCCAACTGCAATAGGAGGTGGATGAAAGGGTGTGCCGGCGAAGCGGAAGTTGCGAGGGAAGGACTCCTTCTCTCGCGACACTCGGGCCCACCCCTTCTCTTTGGGGGCCCCGAAGATGTCTGACGAGCCCAGGGCGCGGCGGGGTTTTCGAGCTCCAGGGGGCCAACCTTCACCGCCCCGCGCGCTGGGCACCTACGACGCGCGCAGGGTGGAGGTTGGCTACCTGGGCAGGGGCTATCCGGCCGCCCCGTGGCTCATCGGGGGTTGTCGGCGCGCCCGGCGCGCGTCGGTTTGCGCGGCCGCCAGCGGCAGCTTCTCACGACCATGAGGGCCATCATTGTCTTGATTGACTTCCAGCCGACCGCGGATGGGCACGAGGACGTCGTGGAGCTGCTCAGGTACTCTGCGAAGGGTGGGGGCAGTGTCCAGGTGCGGGCGCTGCGCGCCATAGACGCGAGTGGGTATTGGAAGGCCCGCGTGCAGACCTACAAGAATGCGCTGCCCATGATGATCGAGAAGCATGACCTGCTGGTGGAGATGGGGCGCCTTCTAGCTACCGACGCACTCCCAACATATTATTTGACGGTGGCGCTGAAGCTCCACAAGTTCTGCGAGTGCGTGGCAGAAGTGCATGCTGTTGTGCCAGGCGAATGTCTGAACAAGATCTCCAGCAAGCTGTCAGACAAGGTATCCGCCTTCGTGAGGGATCTGCTGGGGCAGCCTGAGTTGTTGTTTGATACTGCGCTGTTGGACGCAGCGCAGAAGCTGCTCGCCGCGTCCGTGATCACATTCCCCATGTCCGCTGCCCTTGTCGACGCGCAGTCGCAGGTCGGGTCCCGAGTGGCAGAGATGAGCGCTACCGACCGCGTCGACAACTTCAGGAAGGCGGTGGGTGGGGTTGACCGAGAAGGCCGCCGTGGAGATCGAAGAGGAGCGGAGGGCCGCCGCTAACAACGTCACTAAGTTTGCTTCGAGCGTTCAGCGCCACGAGCTGATCGGGAAGGTCGGCCTCGAGGTGCTCGCGCCAGCCTGCAAGACGCTCCTGGACTGGATCACCGCAGACTACGCTGGTCAGATAAACTCGGTGCTCGTTGATGCGGGGCTGAAGCTGAGCGACACCATCCCCACGAAGGGCCCGACGCTCAATAATCTCTTCGAAGTCACGCAGACGTCGTTCACATGCTGCCTCAGCGTTCAGAAGATTAAGGCCACGAATGACGGCGACGCTCCATCCACTACCGAGGATCAGAAAGAGATGACGACAAAGATGCGCCGAGCTCTGCGCCGCGTGAAGGAACTCGAGCACGCCGTGACCCAGGATATCGGCGACCTCAAGAAGAGCGTGACCGATGTCGCAGTCGACAAGGTGCTCAAGCTTGTCGGCGAGGTCAGGGAGCCGCGCAGATAGCCGACAAGGAGATGCACGCCGCCGCCGTTGCCTCAGCCGAGCTTGCATTGCAAGACGCCATCGCGGCGGCGCGGTCGACCTTGAAAGACATCTACGTCCCTCAGGCCGATGGTTCGGCGGTGACGTGGAGGCCCGAGAACGGCTGCTCGTGGGCAGAGCTCGCGGCAGCCTGCGAGGCGAAGCTGAAGGGAGTGGACCTCGGCAAGGCTTAAGAGACGGCAGGCGCTTGCAAGGCCAAACGCGACGACTTGAAGACGGCCCTCTAATACGCTGGCCACACGGAGCCCGAGACGGAACACACGAATCAGGCCATCATCTTCCTCCAGGCGCCGGCCATCGCCAAGACGGAGCAGTTGATCTGCGCCGCGATCGCCGACGATACCATCGAGAAGACAGAGCAGCGCATGGATATCCAGACGGCCATCAGGAAGCTGCGCAGCTACGGCGTGCAGGAGAAGACGTCGCTGCACGCGTCGATGTCCCAGCGCGCCTTCCAGGTGATCACGTCGAAGGGATGGTGCCGCCCAGCCTCTCCGAGACGACGGTGGCCGAGGTGACCGAGCCGCCCAGCCTCGCCAAGGGTGGGGGGGGGGAACCTTCCTGAGAGCGAGGAGGGTCGTATTGCACGACAGAGAAGATTAGACTCAGGCGGAACATATGGGAAAGGATTGCAGACGCCAGGGCCCCCTTTGTGAAGACGCCTTCGGTGAATCACCGCAGCCCCCTGCCCTTCTGCAAATGCGTGTGCGGGGAAATGGGCCTATGTGGCCCCGCGCGGCTGTGCCCCGCTCGCTTTCCAAGGGGCCTGCGAAGGTGGCGACAGTAGTGCAGTTGGGGACGCGCAGGTCATGGAGTTGTCATCTGGGCATGCTTCGCCCCGTGTCCGTTTGGGCCTCTCAGACGCCAACAAGTGGCGGCAGTCGCGACGTTTGCAGCACCTACTAGTTATGTAGGCATCATCACCCAGCATGCGCATCATCATCCATCTTGTTATTAGTCTTAAGTAAACATCGCGCCCACTACTACAGCAGAGGCCCAACGTGATGAGAGCCCCTACGCGTGGCCGTGGCCAACACCGCAATCTTTGGGCAGTGGGCGCCCAGAGGGGCCGTTTCCCGATTGCTTTTCGGTGTCAAGATGCTTGGGCCTGAACCTGGAATCGCCGCGTGGCGCCCCTGAACCTCCGATCGCGTTCTGGCTGGCAATAAGGGTCAGCAATCGAATGCCATTGCGGCTTTGGCGTAGGAGCAGGTATGGCCCGCGTGGTGTATTTTTTGGGCAGAGCATGTATTTGGATTTGAAGTTTGTATTTTTGTTGCGTGAATCGCCGAATTTTCGTGTAATTTTCCTAATAATACAGCGACCTCTGTTTCTATAATTTCCAGCCAGGTTTTGAAGATATCTGGGATCATGGTCTGTAGGAGATCTACGAAAAGACAAGTCTAGGGCCAGGAGGGGCTAGTTAGGACAGGGATAAAGTTGTTCTGGTGCGTTACAAGACGTTCTCATCGCGTTTCGGAGCGCTTTGGAACGGCCGCGGCGCATGATCCATCCTCCAGAACAGCCAGCTTTCAGAGATGTTCAATTTGTCCCGATCCGATATTGTTTTGTTCTTGCTTTGTATTGTAGATATCCAGTCGTGATTTTTGTTTACGCTGTTGCATTTTTGTTCATGGTGTCGGATCTCAGGGCTCGCCTTCCCTCCCACTCGCCTTTCTTCCTGACCCTCCCTCTTCCCCCCCTCCCCAAGGAGAGATGAGGAGGGGGCAGGAAGACGGGTGCGGCGAGGAGTGACTGTCCTCGCCTCAGCCCTCTTCCCCACGGCCTGGGAGCTCAAGGTTTGGCTCAAGATGGCTTAAGGGCTGGCCCAAGCCTCAAGCCCCAAGCCCGCCGGCCGCCGCCCTCCCGATCCGTTCGGACCCTCCCTTGCCTCTGCCGCGATGGCTGCCACGTCGCTGCCCCCGTCACCTGGGCTGCCAGCCGCCGGACCGGGCGCTTCCGGGTCGCTCGAGATGACCTTGTTGGACGGCATGATCAGTGATGACGCCGTTTACCGCAGCTCCAGCAGCATCTTGGACTGCGACGGCGTGGTGTCGCTCGTCGACGCCGTGGATAACTTCTACTCGGAGCTCGGGCACATCCACGACCACGGCATGACCCTCGACTCGGCGTGGCACCGCGAAGACCTCGACGAGGGTCTCGGCTCCCGCTGCGACCGCGGCTACGCCTCCGGTCACGACCACGCCCACGTCGACTACGACGACCACGTCGGCTACGACGGCAACGTCGACTTCGTCGACCACATCCATGGCTCCGACCACGACCACTTCGAGTACAACGACCACGTCGACTACGACGACCGCGTCGACTACCACGACCTCCCCGGCATCGGAGACCAGCTGGATAGCACCGGCTCCCAAGACATCGGCGACCAGCTGATGACCCACAACTGCCTCGACATCGGCGACCAGAAGAAGTTCAGCGACCTCCAGGACATCGAAGGCACGTTTTACGCCGCCGAGACCAAGGTCTACATCGCCCACACCAGCGTCACCGGTGCCAGCATCACCACATTCGCGGCATCACAAAGCATAGCATCACCGACGTGCGCACCCCAGACGCCACAGACGTCAGCATCACCGTCGCCAACACCCACGACGGCTCCGACGCCAGCACTCACGCCAGCACCTATGACAGCAATGTTGAAAACTCCCTCGTGGACATCACGGGCCAGATTGCTTAGATCGGAGGTGATACCGCTACATTGAAACTCAGCCTCGCGTCCGAGATTCTATTCCTAGCAGTGGTGCGGTATGGCCACGACGACCTCTTGACGACCACCCGCTGCGAAGTCTGCGGCTGCAATGCTTTCGCACATTTTTTCGGCCAGGTCAGCCACATCAGCATGCTTCCCACGTGCACCGCTGGTGCCAAGGGGAACGCTTTAATCCAACCGCGACCACGTCCAGGATTATCAACTGTCCGCGCAAGTGGATCATCATGTTGATCACCAGCTCGCAATGTCTACGTCGGGTACAGCAGTACCATGTCAACCACGACGCCCACACCAACCATGGCACTTACGATCACGACGTCTACGATTAAGTCGGGCATGTCCCTTTACAGGAGGGATATTAAAACATAGTCAAAAATAGTCTGGGGACGATACATTGAGTATGTTTTGAATAGTTTCAATTGTTTCGGCTATCTTATTTGTTTTTATTTCTTTTCTTCCACAGTCCGCATGTATGGGGACATGCCCGACCTATGTCTCTGAGGTCGAAGCCGACACCCACTTGGGCACCGACTCTGGCACCGACGCCACCAGCCTCGATGTCCGCGCCGACTCCTGCACAGGCGAAAGCAACATCGACGCCAGCGCCGACCCACTCACGGATGCCAGCGGCATCGACGCTGGCACCGCCGCCGCCGCTAACGCCGACACCGACACTGACGCTATCAGCGTCGACGTCGGCACCTTCTCCGGCACCACCGTCAGCAACATCGACGCTGCCACCGACACTAGCAGCGTCCACGCCCGCAACGCCGCCAGCTGCATCGATCCCAGGACCTACGTCGGCACCGACTCTGGTATCGACGCCAGCAGCCTCGCCGTTGGCAGCGACTCCAGCACCGACGCCGGCACCTCCGCAGACACCTGCCGGTGCAGTTGCCATGGCCAGCACGCACTGGACATGAGTCCGGGGCTATTGCCTGGATTTTCGGCCACCCTCCCCCGCCATGAGACGCCGGGGCCGGCGGAAACCGTGACACCAGTTTTGGGGGTTCCGAGACATGATCTGAATTCTTTACGCTTCGCGTATCCCCACCAGCCCATCTCACAGCAGCAACTCTCGCGAAGCATGCCGACAGTCGTGTTTTTCAGGCGTGTGTCCGCTTGGCCCCGCATATCTCCCCTGTTCCTCCTTCCTCCCGCCTCCTTGTACATCCTCCTTGTGGGGGGAGCGGGAGAAGGACGAGGCGAAGGAGGAGGGAGAGAAAGCGCTCCTCGTGGTTTGAGTCGTTTGGGGTTTCTCGTCCTGGTCTGAGTCGTTCGGGCCCTTCTTCCTGGTGTGAGTCGTTCGGGCTCTTCGTGGTGTGAGTCGTTCGGGCTCTTCGTCCTGGTGTGAGTCGTTCGGGCTTCTCGTGGTGTGAGTTGTTCGGGCCCCTCGGCCTGGTGTGAGTCGTTCGGGCCCCTCCTCCTGGTGTGACTCGTTGGGGCTCCTCGTGGTATGAGTCGTTCGGGCCCCTCGTTGTGGTGTGAGTCGTTCGGGCCCCTCGTCCTGGTGTGAGTCGTTCGGGCTCCTCGTGGGGCCTCTTGGGAGCCTCTTGGGGGCCTCTTGGGGCCTCTTGGGCGCCTCTTGGGAGACTCTTGGGGGCCTCTTGGGAGCCTCTTGGGGGCTCTGGGGGCCTCGTGGGAGCCTCTGGGGGGCCTCTTAGGGGCCTCTTGGGGGCCTCTTGGGGGCGGCTTGGGAGCCTCTTGGAGGCCTCTGGGGAGCCGCCTGGGGGCATCTTGGGGCCTCTTGGTGGCTTCTTGCGACCTCCTCAGAAGCGCACATGAGCGCTACCCTCTGAGAAGGACAACATGAGCCCAAAACCTTCGTAGAATCAATACTTTTGAGACTCTGGGCCATCTGGGGACCTCTTGGGGCCATCTGGTGGACCTCTGGGGGCCCTCTTGGGAGGCTTGTATGAGCGCTGCCCCTCCTCCTGGTGTGACTCGATCGGGCTCCACGTGGCGTGAGTCGTTCGAGGCCCGCGTCGTGGTGTGAGTCGTTCGGGGTCCTCGTGGTGTGAGTCGGTCGGGCGCCTCGTCCTGGTATGAGTCGTTCGGGCCCCTCGTTGTGGTGGGAGTGAGTCGTTCGGGCTCTTCGTGGTGTGAGTCGTTCGGGCCCCTCGTCCTGGTGTGAGTCGTTGGGGCTCCTCGTGGGGCCTCGTGGGAGCCTCTTGGGGGCCTCTTGGAGCCTCTTGGGCGCCTCTGGACCATCTGGGGACCTCTTGGGGCCATACGGTGGACCTCTGGGGGCCCTCTTGGGGGGCTTGTATGAGCGCTGCCCCTCCTCCTGGTGTGACTCGTTCGGGCTCCTCGTGGTGTGAGTCGTTGGAGGCCCGCGTCGTGGTGTGAGTCGTTCGGGGTCCTCGTGGTGTGAGTCGGTCGGGCGCCTCGTCCTGGTATGAGTCGTTCGGGCCCCTCCTTGTGGTGTGAGTCGTTCGGGCTCTTCGTGGTGTGAGTCGTTCGGGCCCCTCGTCCTGGTGTGAGTCGTTCGGGCCATCTGGACCATCTGGGGACCTCTTGGGGCCATACGGTGGACCTCTGGGGGCCCTCTTGGGGGGCTTGTATGAGCGCTGCCCCTCCTCCTGGTGTGACTCGTTCGGGCTCCTCGTGGTGTGAGTCGTTCGAGGCCCGCGTCGTGGTGTGAGTCGTTCGGGGCCTCGTGGTGTGAGTCGGTCGGGCGCCTCGTCCTGGTATGAGTCGTTCGGGCCCCTCCTTGTGGTGTGAGTCGTTCGGGCTCTTCGTGGTGTGAGTCGTTCGGGCCCCTCGTCCTGGTGTGAGTCGTTCGGGCTCCTCGTGGGGCCTCTTGGGGGCCTCTTGGGGGCCTCTTGGGGGCCTCTTGGGGGCCTCTTGGGGGCCTCTTGGACGCCTCTTGGGAGCCTCTGGGAGGCATCTTGGGGCCTCTTGGGGGCCTCTTGCGACCTCCGCAGAAGCGCAAATGAGCGCGAGCCCCTGCGAAGGACAAAATGAGCCCAAAACCTTCGTACAAGCAATGATTGTGAGAAGAAGGAAGAGGAGCGCTGCCCCCTCAGAAGGGCAACATGGGGCCGAAACCGTAGTAAAATCAATGACCTCTGGGGGCTCTCTTGGGAAGCTTGTATGAGCGCTGCCCCTCCTCCTGGTCTGACTCGTTCGGGCTCCTCGTGGTGTGAGTCGTTCGAGGCCCGCGTCGTGGTGTGAGTCGTTCGGGCTCCTCGTGATGTGAGTCGGAGGCCTCTTGGGGCGTCTTCGGCGCCTCGTGGGGCCTCTTGGGGGCCTCTTGGGGGTATCTCGGGGGCCTCATGGAGGCCTCGTGGTGCCTCCTGGGGACCTCCTGTGGGCCATCTGGACCATCTGGGGACCTCTTGGGGCCATACGGTGGACCTCTGGGGGCCCTCTTGGGGGGCTTGTATGAGCGCTGCCCCTCCTCCTGGTGTGACTCGTTCGGGCTCCTCGTGGTGTGAGTCGTTCGAGGCCCGCGTCGTGGTGTGAGTCGTTCGGGGTCCTCGTGGTGTGAGTCGGTCGGGCGCCTCGTCCTGGTATGAGTCGTTCGGGCCCCTCCTTGTGGTGTGAGTCGTTCGGGCTCTTCGTGGTGTGAGTCGTTCGGGCCCCTCGTCCTGGTGTCAGTCGTTCGGGCTCCTCGTGGGGCCTCTTGGGGGCCTCTAGGGGGCCTCTTGGGGCCTCTTGGGGGCCTCTTGGGGGCCTCTTGGGGGCCTCTTGGGAGCCTCTTGGACGCCTCTTGGGAGCCTCTGGGAGGCATCTTGGGGCCTCTTGGGGGCCTCTTGCGACCTCCGCAGAAGCGCAAATGAGCGCGAGCCCCTGCGAAGGACAAAATGAGCCCAAAACCTTCGTAAAATCAATGATTTTGAGAAGAAGGAAGAGGAGCGCTGCCCCCTCAGAAGGCCAAAATGGGGCCGAAACCGTAGTAAAATCAATGATTTTGGCTTCACAGAAGAGGAGAGGGTTTTTTCAGAGCCCCCCCGTCGGGGCCAGAATCCTCGTGAGGGTCGTCGTTTTTTGGCCCTCCCAGGAGTCGAAAAAGACCCCCCTGAGAACACTCGGGACTCCCTGTCCAGGCCCAGGGGGAGGGGGTAGGGGGAGGGGTAAACCCCTCCCCGAAGGGGAAGAAGGGGGGTTGGGGGGTTGAGGACAGAGAGAGCTCTCTAAACCACTCACGCCCAAAGGGCTGGTGGGATTTCGTCGTGAAGGAGCTGACAAGCATCACTGAGGCCAGCACCACCGACGCCGGCACCCAAGACATTCTTTATGTCAGCATCATCGACGCTATCAACCTCGACCGCATCGAGGGTGCTCACGGCAACATTGCCGCAAGCATCAACGCCACCACCCGAGCCTGCACGGACGCTTGCCCAGGCAGTTGCCTCTGCCAGCAACCACCAGGCATGAGTCTGGAGTCTGGGAGCAGTGCTTGGATTTCCGGCCACCCTTGCGGGACACGATGTTCGTATCTCTCAGCTTCACTAGGATCAGGGCCCTCAGGAACTGTGGAAGCGTTGACGGGGAAGACCATCGTTCTCAACGTGGCGGCCAGCTACACGATCGAGCACGTCAAATGGAGCATCCAGGACTCTCAGGAAGCGCCCGGCTTCCAGCAGTAAGCAGCTAGAGGCTAGAGGACAGTTGCACGTTCACGGACTACAATATCTAGAAGCATGCCACGACGCATGTCGTACTCTGCCTACGTGGTAGAGGCCGGGGGCAGATGCCCATCTTGCAACCTGGAACGGGAACTGCAGACCCCAGCATTGCCACCACCTGGACATGCAGAAGGCGCTGGACCTGGAGGGAACGCCACCGCGCCGCTAGCACCAGCTGGTCACGACGCCAGCGGCTGGGCCACGATGCAAATGGATGATGGCCGCACTCAGTCTGGTCTGTCTCAGGGCCCAGGGCCTCGCGGGAGTCCACATTGGCACACAGCTGGCAAGTGCGGCCAGCGGAACCTTCGCCGCCACCCCTCCTGGCCTCTCCGGCCACGGCCCCCTGCCCGACGCGGCACTCAAGGGTTTCGTGGAGGACGAAATCATCCAGCACGTGGAGACCGTGCACATCGTGGGAAAAACAGACGGCCCGTGGGAAGTGCGCCCTGGACCCTGATCTGGGCTTGAGGCCTCGCCTGCAGACCGAGCCCGATTGTTCGCTTTCCAGATGTCCCCCCTGCCCACCAGGCTGCCCAGACTTGACTTCTGAATGGTCCCGGGCTGGGGTGGAGGATGCGAGTAGGAGGAGGGGGAGGAAGAGGAGGAGGAGGACGAGGAGGAGGAGGAGGGGGAGGAGGAGGTTGAGGAGCCCTGACATCTGGGTGCCGCGAATGTTACACCACGGGAGGTTTGGTCTTGCTTATAGGACTCGCAGATCGATCTGGCTAGAACAATGCCGCAGAAACATATTGTCGAAGGTTCCAGTCGTGATGTTTCGCAACGTCGGAAGTCAGGGATGAGGAAGAGGAAGTGGACGATGGCCAAGCCTCCAGTTGGCGCGAGCGCAGCACGGGGACGATGGCGTCGTGGAATGCCGTCTGTCGTCTCTTAGGTCTTGTCGGCATTTCGCCAATCGACTTGCGGGGATGCTGCCAGATATAAATGGAGTCACGTCCAGAGCGATCCAGATAAGTTTACATTAATCTAAGTAAGTCCAGAGAACTCCAGGGACATCTTGGGCAAATCGTGGACGCGGGCAGCAGACGTCGTCAATCCCTTGCCGATGTCGGAGGAGGGCGAGTTGAGACAACGCCAGCTCTCCTGGCAAGCCCAAGCTCGTTCAGAATCGGTCCCCGAAGCCTTCTGGGGTCCATGCTGCCCCGTCTTCCGAGGCGGATCCGTCCGTGGCGACGAAAAGCTTCCAGGAGGTTCAAGAAGTTGAACAACGCCAGGGAGGTCCGCCCTTGTCTCGACTGAGTCATCCTCCGACCGAGCGCGGGGTGATGCTCTGTAGGTCACCCGAAGTGGAGCGGAGATAGTCGCGCTCTGCGCTTCACGATCCGGTCTGAGGAGCCGTCGTCGTCGTCGTCGTCCTCCCGAGCTTTGGGGGGGCTGGCGACTGCCTGAACCGACGCCTGGCGTCCCGGTGGCGTCCTCTTGTATGCGTCGGCTGGAGGTGGAGGGCAGGTTGCCTCCCGCACCTCCAGGGTCAGTGACTTCACCAGGTTCGCGTCGTGTCGACCAGCGGCGACCCCGTCGCCGGCGGTCATCGTTGGAACGCCGCTGGCTGTCGATGTTGAACGATCTGACGTTGCGGAAACGGCCGATCGTTCAAGGTTGAACGATCCCGCGGTGTCAGGAACCAGCGCCGGGGTCGACACGTGACCAATCTGCCGCACGGTGGGGGCGTTGGTTAAGGCGTGTGGCCAGGAGGCTTCAGACCCTGGGGGGGGCTATTCTCTGATGAGGACGGCGGTGTTTCTCGTGACCCATCCACGATAGGGCTTCCGCTGCCTTCCAGACTCCGGATTCCTTATCCAAGGAGGGGGAAGTGCAAGGACGGTGGAGGCCCGGAGGAGGACTGGGAGGAGGAGGAGGAGGAGGAGCAAAGACGGTGCGGGGGGAGAGGATACAGCCAGGAACGTTTGCTCGGCGTGTCGCGCCGCCGGTTCATAGAGATCGGGGCGTTGCAATCGGTGGTTCAAAGATGGGGTCCTGAGGGATGGTGTCCTAAAGACGAGGTGCCTCGAACACAGTAGATTCACCTCTGTCTCCCTTCCTATCCTCATGACCCCATCCCCCAGGACCCCATCTTTGAACCACCGATGCAAGTTTTTCCCGGCGGACCTTTGCGCTCGGTTTAGGGCCCTGGGACCATCACAGAACGATGCAGCTCGAACAGACATGCCTCAGAAACATGGGGTCGAGGGCTCAGGTTGTGATTGTTCGCGGTGTTTTGCAGTTTTTTCGCGAAGTCGGATCTCAGGGTCTTCGTCGGGGAGTCGTGCGCGCAAGAGGGTTCTTTCAGCGCGTCGCGCCGCCTGCACCGGCCCACCACGCTCCGGCGCGACACGTCGAGCACGTCCCAGCCCCTGAGCAATCGCGTTCCGAAGTCGATTCAGTTTCCCGTCCCACGAAGCAGAGCGACACGCTGTCAGTTTGCGAGGCATTCGCGTTCTGCATGGGCCACATCCGCGGCACGCTTTGCAAAAGTGCCTCATGGTATGCGTCAGGGAAGAGCCGTTCCAGTTCAGGCAATAACGAGAAAGCGTAGCGGACAGGAGGAGGGAAGCGTTGCAGGACATATAGTGCAAGGTGGTTGGTTGGACAAGCGTCCATCCCAGCGAGGCCCACCACACCTCGAAATGATCCACCTCTCTGGGATCGCCTCCTCAACATTGCTTGAGGTCGTCGACTTCATGTCCGTTTTTTACACGGCCTACGTCACCATCCGGGAGTACGTGCGGGACAATGGTGACCTGATGACGATCGAAGAGCTGGGCCCTTTGGCAGAGGTCGTCGGCCTCTCCACTTGAGCTGCCGCGTGCTGCTTTCCCTCACCCGCGTGCCACTCCTCCTGGTCAGTAGCAGAGCGGACTCGCGATTTCTCGCCATGAAATAAAGGGGTCCAGAGGAAATCGGGTCCGGAGGTTTTTCTCAGTTTTTGGCTTCCCGGGGCCTGGGACTCAAACAACGAGTTGGGATGAAGATTTGTTCCTGGGGGAATGCAGCAGGGTCAAGGATCTGTTTCCCTCGGGATCCATTTCTTTCATGCTAAGGTTACCCGAAATCTTATCGTTTTCTCTTTCCATCGATACGGCGTTGTGCAGCATGGCGGGGCGACGAGTAGAGGATTCTGTGGTCTTGCGTGGGACAACTCGGGGCCACATTGGGGCTCGTCAGGCGGCCCTCTTGGGCCTTCTTCAGGGCGTCTTGGGGCTCTCTTTGGCTGTCTTGGGACCCTCTGGATGTCAGCTTGTGATGAACAAATGATGGACCCCCCCTGGCACTGATGAATAGACCCCGCGGGGCGCGAAACAGTTTTTGAATCACGCGCGCCAGGGGGTCCTCGTGGGCGCCGCCGAGGGCATCGTGCACGCCCCTGCACGGCAACCTCAAAACGATTGCCTGTCGTCTAGAAATTGATAGAAGGATCGTGTAGATCCGAGGCGAAGAGTTTCCCCTCTCAGGCTGAGTACTGGCGTACTGCAGTCGTCGTCGTCGTCGTCGCCGCCGTCGTCGTCGTCGTCGTCGTCTGCCCACGGGCTCGACGTCTCACCGCGAGTGGGTGAGATAGGCATTGAGGCAGTTTCTTGTTGGGGGCCCACACTTCAGCACGATTGCACATTCGGTGCCCTAACTCCTTCATGCGGCGGCTAGTCGGCGAGTGATGTCTCAGCTTCGCCTTCCCGGGTGGAATCCCATGTGGTGTTCAGGGTCGCTTTTGGGGAGGTTGTTCTGGACATTTAGAATTACGACATCCTCCTTCTGGCGGGGACCCACAATCAGGACCGACGCCAACGGCACACAGGCAGCGTCGTATCTCGTCGTCAGGTTGCAGGTCGACTTGTCGTGGAAGCCTCCTGGGGGCCCCAGGCGCCACTCAGTAACTCTCATGTGGGTGCTCGGTGATCTTCGGTGGAGGCCCCTCCTGGCCCTCCTCTTTCCCCTCCTCTCCCTGCCCCCTCTTCCCCGTTTCCCTCTCCCTCCCCTCCCCCTCCCCCCCGCCTCCCCTCTCCCCTCCTCTCCCTTCCTCTCCCTTCCCCCCTCCCTCCCCCCCCATTGTCATGACGGTCATTCACAAAAACGCTCCGTCGGTCACGACGGACGACCGAATCCAAGAGCTTATCACAGAGCTTGACGGCGTACATTGGGATTTCGTGCTCATCTATGAAACGTGGAGAACGACGGCGACGGAGCTATGGACAACCACGGAGGGGCACACTTCCGCTGGATCAGGCAACGACCGGACGTGTCACGGAGTTGCAATTATCGTGCGCAAGCGTTGGGGCAAACAGATACAGAATTCCAAGCACTTCGCCGAGACTAGCCACAATGTCATTGCAGAAGGGGCGACTGAAACTGCAATTGGTGTCTGCGTATTTCCCACACTCTGGTTACAGCGACCCGCACGTTCGGCGCATGTGCGACGCCATCCATGAGATCCACAGAGAGAGAGAGAGAGAGAGAGAGAGAGAGAGAGAGAAAGAAAGAGAGCATCAAAACACGACGTCACACCATTCCCGCCGGCGACTTCAACGCGCAGGTTGGGGCACCCGCCATTTGTGCAGACAACGACAACGACGACGACGACGACAGTGTCACCTCAAGATACGTCGGCCGCCACGGTGATGGGAACGAAAATTCAATTGGCACCTGGTTACGACATTGGGCCTCACAGGAATGGCTTGTAATCGCTAGCGCGTTCTTCCGCAAACTGGCGCACAAGCAAATAGCGTACACCAACGGCGACAACGAGAAGCAGTTCGATTACATATTGTTGAGCCGCAAGCTTTTCCGACATTGCACGAACGCTGAAGCCAGCAACACGTCCGACTTGGCATCCGACCACAAGGCTGTTCTCACCGACTTGAGAATACCAGAATCCATGGTAACGAAGCGGCAAAGGCACGACGACAAGCAACGACAGCACTCACGTTCAGCACCCGGACCGACGGGACAAATCACCAACACAAGCGTTTACCACGAACACCAGCGTCCACGACTGCACCCAAACGAACTACCATCCGACCCGCAAGCACTGAGCGACCACATCCAACGCATTATCATCGAGGCCGTTGCTGCCAGCATTGCCGGGGAACCACTTGGAGACCGCCCGCCAGACAGAGGAGATGAACGAATACACTCACTACTGGAGCAGCGTCAGCAGACACCAAACAACGACCATCACACTCGAAAACAGTTGAGCAAACTTATACAGAAGGATATCCGTGCGCATAAGCGGAGGAAACGACGAGCTCATATGAGTTACGTATTTGACCAGTTCAGAGACTTGAAGAGCATCACGCGCATCAAAACATGCAGAATGCGGACTCTCATCACGCACATGACAGACCAAGACGGCGCCAAACGCACGACGAGACAAGACATTGCTGACGTTTTCGCAGAAGTTTACGAGCACCTTTACCATTCAACGGCAGAGTGGACGCAGCAAGAGCGGCCCGACGACGACCTCCCACCTTTCACAAAAACAGAGGTAGACAAGGCGATCAAGGGGCTCCGCCTTGGGAAAGTTCCCGGCACCAAGGGCGTCAGAGCAGAGATGCTGAAAGAAGGCGCGGAAGAACTCAAAGAAAAATTGCTCCACCTCTACAACGCGATCCTGCAGTCCAACGCTCCGCCACCGGCCAGCTGGAAGAGCACAGTTGTCACGGTAATTCCAAAAAGTGGGGATCTCACGTTTCCTCAAAACTACCGCCCCATATGCACGATACCGCTGCTCTACATGCTTTTCAGCAGGCTGCTTTACAACCGACTCCAACCGGCACTCGATTCTCGACAGACAGCTGACCAAGCAGGCTTCAAATCAGGACACTCGACCACCGACCGCCTCTAAAAAAACACACATTCTTCGAGAGCGAGCGCACGAATGGAACCAGAACTTGTGGGTTGCAGCGCTCGGTTTTAAAAAGGCTTTGACACGGTCGAACACGAGAGCATATGGGCAGCGTTCAAGGCGCAAGGTGTCCAGCCAGGATACATCTCTCTACTCCAACAGTTTTACCAGGGACAGGAAGCCACAGTCAAAACGGATGTAACCAGCCGGCCCTTCAGCCGTTTACGGGGCACGAAATAAGGGGACCCGCTCAGCCCCCTCCTCTTTAACGCTCTTCTACAACGCATTATAGAACCGCTGATCACCGAAAGGCAAAAGAAGGGCAAGGGCGTTCAGCTGGGGCGAACCGCCTCCGCCACACTCACCAACCTTCGCTTCGCCGACGACGTGCTTTGAACCAGCCAGATCCTCCCGCGCCGCACAAATATGCTCGAAGATATTGTGCGCGCGGCGCAACCGCGCGGACTCGAACTGCACCCTTCCAAGACCAAGATACTGAGCAGCCAAACGAGACGGACCGGCAGGGCGAGCTCGCGCACGGCGCGCGTTGAGGGCATGGACATCGACATCTTGCCGCGCGAGGGCAGCGCCAAATACCTCGGCCAACTCACCAGCTTCCACGGCGCGACGGAGACAGATATCCACCACCGCACGAGAGCCGCATGGGCATCATTCACTTCGCACAGACAGGAGCTGACCAGCAAGCGTTACCCGCTGGCGCACAGGCTTCGGCTTGTCAACAGCACAGTATCACCGACGGCGCTTTGCGGAGAAGAGACCTGGACGCTTACGGAACCTCTCCGCCAGCACTTGCGACGAACGCAATGACGCATGCTCCGCGTGATCATCAGAACGACACGGCGACGCACTACTCGCAGCACAATCCCTTGCAATAATCAAAGCGGCACGGACGACGGCGCGACCAACGAAGCACCCGGCGACGACCCCAACGCAGCGGACAGCAGCGACGACGCAGACAGCCACGCAGCACAGCATGACGCAGCAGACCCACGCAGCGAGAGCAACAACAACGACGACGACAACGAGGACACGCTAGAGCCCTGGGTCGAGTATATACAGCGAGCAACACGGAGCGCAGAGCAGCTCACGCAGCACCGCCAAGTCGCAAATTGGGAGACGGCTCGCAGACAGAAGTCGCGGCGCATGGCGTCGAGGGTTGCTAACCATGACCCCGCCAGGTGGACGCGGCGCGTACTCCGCTGGCAGTCAGAAGGGAACCCGCGCCAAAGCGGACAACGACAGCAAGGCGGCCAGCGAAAACGTTGGGAAGACGACTTCGTCAAGTTCCTCCAACAAGACAACCCCGACCAGCATCCAACGCCCACCGCCGACTACAGAAGGCCAACCCAACGATTTCACGTGGATTCGCACGGCCCAAGACACCACCACCTGGTCGACACTCGAACGGCAATGCGCACACCCCACGTTTCGACGCTACGCCGACATCCACATCCAGGACTACCCTCCTTCGTCGCAGATTGTTTATTGTCCCGCTGTCCATTTGCATGGTCGCGCGCGGTCCATGCGTGCAGGTTTGAAGAGGCCGCGGCTTCCTCCACCAGGTCTCGAGCAGACCCGGACAGCTGCCCGCAGCGGCGGTTCACTTCATTTCACTAGATTCAGGACCGACGCATTCACCAAACCTGGCCATCTCCCCCCGAGGCTAAAAGCAGGGCCCTGGGAGTTCGACTGAACGAGGCAGGTGCGACGCCTGCGCCATCTCCCTCCACTTCTCTCCACGCCCATCTCGCGCGTCTCAGCGGCCCCGCTGCCTGCAGACAGTCAGCGTGCTGATCGTCTGGTTCGGGGCGGTCCTGCGAGCTCTTTCTGTCGGCTGCGCGCCGTTCGTATTCTGCGACGCGAATGCTTGGCAGGGCATCCGTCCAGGCTGCAAAGGCACGGCTGACACGTCGATTG